TACATACATACATACATACATACATACATACATACATACATACATACATACAAACATACAAACATACATATATATATATATATATATATAATGAATTCATTTCTAAATAATATGTTCAATGAGTTTTCCAAGGGGCTTTGTTGCCAGGTAAAAGGCCGGTCAAATGTGTGTTTTTGTGCAGCCAATTCACGCTAATTTCCATTGCCTCCTCGAATTCTGTTTGGCCTGAGCTTCTTACATCACCACTCGTCACTTTTGTCACCACCCGTGAGAATGATGCCATTCGTGTCCGACCCAAGGGATGCAGGCCATGCAGTGGAGCGAAGACATCTGGAGAACCTTGGAGCCGGATGGCAAGCCACTTGAAGCGTCGACAGCTCTTGTGAATCCGTCCCTTAGCGGCTGGCAGCGCCTGTCATTACCAAGGCCTCTGTCGCCACGACAGCTGGGTCTCACTGCAACTGGTAACCGTGATCTCCTCTCCCCCTCCAAGCCTACCCCATACCCTGTTCGCCTGATTTGCCTGCTCGGCCAGCCCTCATCCTCGCCCTGATAGGCCGGTACCGTCGCCGACAGACGCTCCTCTTCCTCTTCGCCCACTTGTAACCTTCGTGTCTCTCGCGCCCAGGCGGACCGGCCAACTGACCCGACGGACTCGGCAATTCCGATCCCACTCTGCCTGCCCCAGACACGGCACTCACTGTCGACTCAGCCAACATGACTTGACAACTGTCGCCACCACAGTCTCCGATCCGGGCTCCTGATACCACTTCTCCCCTCTAGTGGGCAGGGGGCATTCTGTTGACACGGTTACACGAAGGCGGCAGCAACTATCAAGCGCTATCAAAGACTAGGGGTTAAATGACGTCCTCTTCCTTTGACTGCAATCTCGACCTTGCAGAGTACTCCCAATGGGACTCGAGCCTAGCAACAAGGGGTTCCTGGGGCAGGCCACATGAGGTCGCATCCTCGGTTGGACGAGCTGAGATCCGGTCTGTCTGTTGGAACGACCCCCTTAATACGGTTGATTGGTTGCGCTTCGTTGGTTGGTAGTGGTTTGTTAGTCATTCTCGGTCGCTTAAGGTGGGTGATTGGACTAATAGCGAAATTTCCCACATTGACATGATGCCGTTGAATGTCACTCGTTATCACTCCCTCCAATGGTACCCGTGGGCCACAGGGCGAACAGGACTTTCAAGGCAAGTCAATGGGGCAAAAATGAATGTGCAACAACAATCGACAACGCAACTTATTTTTCCCCTTAAAAATGACCGATAAATTCGGCTCGCAGGACCTGGGCTCGAATCCAATAGAAGCGAACCAGTAACCCTGCCGGGTTGAGGAGGTCTTCCCGAAGGCAAATAAATGTCAAGTCCTTTTCTTGTGAAAAATTCAACCATCAGCCCTACCTCACCCTAAGAGACTCCAGGTGCTATCTGATAATTTCCGTATACAACTTGTTTGAGCTCAGCAACGGTCAGCGGCACAAGTCTTCCCTCCTTCTAGGCCGGGTCCTCTGGGAATATTTGTTTAAATAAGAGCTAAATCGCTGTAATTGGGTCACAGCTTATTTGCTGAGCTAAATACTCCTTAAAGAGTTTTCGTAGGCTGGATTTTTATCAAATTTCAGGCAAACGCACATCGCATGAGTAAGCGAGGACAATAGCAAGAGAAAAGCTAAATAACAGCCTATAGTTTTCAGGCTGCTGTGGTTACGGTTCCATCAATGCCTTCTTCATTTTCAGCTCTGACAGTGTGAATGACGGTACAGGGTCGAGCACCTGTTGGACACTCTCACCGGCCTCGGCAACAGGGTCACTGAAACAACGCATTCCCTTCAAGATTGCACAATTCACACGCCTGCGAAAGATTCTCACGCCAAATGCATATTATCAACCCTTCCAACCTGTTCCCAGGCTGAGACTGCCCACCCTCGTGTCGTTTTCCGTATTCAGTCTCACTCGATCCGACTCACTTAATGACTCTTTTCGCCACTCTCTTATCACACACTTTCATACACATAAATGCATACATAGATACACACATACATAATATACAACATACACATATGCATAAACACATACATATATGTATGCATACATACATACAAACTTACATGCATACAAACATACATACAA